TTCATGTTATTTGTTTTTTTTATCAATTATGATTATGATTATTATTATATTAGCTTCACTTAATTATATTAGCTTCACACTTATATTAGCCGGCTGACTAACACGCTAACATAACAAACGCACCTACTCAGGGAACAGGTAGCCCATATGGACGTATCTTCGCCTCCTGGATCCCCGACCACGTACAGGCGATTCAATAGCCGCGAAGAGAACGTATTCTCAAGGTTAACCGCGAGTAGGCAACCGATTGCGTCTGAGCCGCAACCGATGAAAGAATTATTTCGCAGTATCAAGGCAAGGTAAAAGAAAAAGGAGAAATAACGAGATTTCTTTAAAGAGAAAAATCTCTAGACTTCTAATTCTCTTCTCTGACGCAGTTTATTATTTTATATACATATATATATATATATATATATATATATTATATTTATATATATGTATATATTTAATATAAAATATATTTTATATATTTTTTATATATATTTATAATAATATTTTTTCCTCCAGGTGCAACCGCGGGCAATTTTGCAATGTTCCCACGTAGCAGAAGGACACAGCAAGCTGTCCTCACCATATGTGTGACTCCAGATTTACTCTTTAGCGGCTCGAAAGGTGACGTGAATGTGATGTCAAAATTTTGTGAAGATAATTTATGTATAGAAATGGGATCAAGTTCAATATGTACTTAAAAATACCTGAAAATTTGTCCCTACAATTTTTGTTGAAAACAAAAATTCAGTTTCCATTTTTAAAAAACAATGATTATTGAATTTCTCGAAAGTGGCGCTATCTATGGTATTTTTTTGTAAAAGCGGAGAAAAAGAATTCTAATTTATCTTGATCCAGATTCGAAAACTTTTGTTCAGAAAAAAATCAGTTTCCATTTTAAAAAATATTAAATTTCTCGAAAGTGGCGCCATCTATGATTTTTTTTGTAAAAGCAGTGAAAAAAGCTTCAAATTTACCTTAATCCAGATTCGAATCTACTTGAAAGATTGATTTTTTTAATAGAAAATAGAAGTAATTAGGGAGTTTGAAACTTTGCAAACTTTGAATCTACTTATATAAGATGTTTAATTTTACCGTTATTTTCCACGTAGCAGACTAACGTCATTAAACGTCAAAATGACGTTGTTTAATGACGTCAATCTGCTACATGGAAAATAACCATTGGCCTACGACTTATATAAATGCGTGCACAGCTAAAATAATGTTATCTCATGAATTTTCAGATCGCACCGTGAAGGTATGGGATTTAGAAACTGGAATCGAGAGTCAGACCTTGAGCGGACATCCGAACAACGTGGTGGCCGTGAAATACTCCACCACGCATCGACTTCTGTTCAGCGTGTCCGCAGCGTACGCCAAGGTCTGGGACTTGAGAGCCGGCAGCTGCATAAAGACGCTATTCTCCTCTGGTCAGACCCAGGGCGGCCCGATCGCATTGTCGACTCCGTCCAGAATACTGCAAGTTCCTGTAGGGGAGACGACCATCAACGACTTGGCGCTTAGTCTGGACGAGCAAGAGCTATACACAGCGGCCAGCGACAAGGTTAGAATATGGGATCTTCGTAAGCTGACGTACACCGCTAGATTGAACACCCCGCACACGGCAGCCGTCATGTGTCTGGCTGTCGCCGAGGATGGCAGAGTGATAGCAGGTAGCAAGGATCATCTGATATCTCTCGCCGAACCGAATATGTCCGGCTCGTCCATCAGCTTAGCGCCGCCGCACTACGACGGAGTTCAATGCTTGACCACGATTGGCTCCACTTTGTTTTCCGGTGTGTTCTCTATTGCTCAGACTTCCCTAACAGCATACATATCCTAAAGACGTTCAGAAAACATCTTGAGGATATCCTCTGTGAATATCCTCTGAATATCCTCTGAATATCTTTCGGATATATGTTGTGCTATTAGAGTTTCCATCCTTGGTATCATACGATTGAAATGTACGCGAAAAAATATTTTATTCCTCTTATTTCGCAGGCTCTAGAGATATGTGCATCAAACGATGGGACCTAAGTAAAATGGAGCTGGTACAGTCCCTCAATAATGCGCATAAGGATTGGATCCTTGGACTATGCACGATAAACAACGGCTCTGTGATGATCTCCGGATGTCGCGGTGGTATTCTCAAGGCATGGTCCGTCCCCAGGGATCATTCGGGGGAATGCACCCCAATTGGGGAGGTTCGGGCGCACACTTCTGCGATCAACGCTATCGCGACCAATCAGCAGCACGTATTTACAGCGAGCAAGTAAGTGAAAAAATATATTTAAATATTTTATACACTCGGCTGTGATGTCCTAAAGGATCTTTATAACGATACTAGTAGCTACTATACAGAATCAATTATGAAATTAAATTAGTATACACAGTGTTGAGCTTAGATGATTTGAAAATGAGCTAAATAAAGATGAGATAAAAAATATGTAAATTTATCTGAGATAACATGAAGATGAGATTTTGTTTTAAATATATTTAGATAAAATTATATGGCGATTCAGCTAGATAATATTATATATTTTTAAGACCACTTATAAAAATGTAAATTATAAAAGGAATATGAAAATATTTATTTATATTTTATTTGTAAGTTTCTATTGCTTACTGCTTAAGGTTCTGTTACTTAATAATAATATTTAAATATTTTTATGTGCTATGACTAAACCAAATTTATCTTGATCCAGATACGAAAATTATTCTAGATAATTTAATAAAGATAACATTTTTTTATCTAAGATTTAGATATAGATAATACATATTTTTATTATCTATATAAAAATAAGATGACACCAAAAAATTTTATCTAGATGATCATCTATATAATTTTATTTAGATTACAGCAAACACTGAGTATACATAATTGAATTAGAATTACTCGGGTTCAACTATGGACCATGGCACGATATTCCAGGTGAAATAACGGTCTCGGATATTGATTTCAGCTCTGGAGAAGTGAAGCTGTGGCGTATACCCGATACCTCGTTATCTATGTCTATCTCCACAGTTTCCCTTTAACTTTATTTGCTTTTTGCTTGTACGTTAATGTGTTGTGCGTTTAGCTTGTATTTATTTTTTTCGTTAATAATGCGCATGTTTACTTAATAGAATTTAACGCAACAATATGTATTCTCCATTATAATGTAAATATAACGAAAGAAAATCGAATGTTACATACATTGAATCATTTTTATGCAATATTATAATTTATGAAAATGCTTTAAGGCTTTTGGCTCCTCGTCGACCATGTTAGATTGTGACGTCAGCGGCGAGAAAATACATGCTGAAAATTCTTAATGCCTTTTCTAAATAAAAAGATATATTTTGGTGCAACTGCACTTTAGATGGCTTTAGCACACTCATGATTTAAAAATCTAAATGAAGATGAGATGAAAATATGTAAATTTATCTTAGATAATTCAAAAATAATTTTAAATTGAAATATATGTAGATAAAATATAAAATTATATAGCGATTTATCTAGATAATTTTCAAATAATATTATTTGTAAAATTACTTATGTAAAGAATTATTTCAAAAAATATAAAAAACAAATAAATTGTAAATTGCCAGTCTAAATTAAAAACAAGGTTGTTAAGTAATTGACCAAACAGACTATAGATAAATATCTTTATTTAAGTGACATTTTTATATTTCTTTGTATTTTTGTAGCTGGAAAAGAACCCCATTTAGGATCGAAACGTCGCTTAAATAAAGATATTCATCTATAGTCAGTTTGGTTAATTACTTAACAACCTTGTGCAAAAAATATAAATTATAAGAAAAACGTTCATATTTTTATTTGTAAATTTTTATCGCTTATTGTTTTATTCTAGATAATTTAGTAAAAATAACACTTTTTTATCTAAGAGGTGCAAATTTAGATAATATAATTTTTATTTATCTATATAAAGATAAGATGACGTCAAAATTTCATCTAGATGATCATCTATATAATGTTGTATATGTATATTACAATCATTTTACAGTTGTTGATGAATTGTCATTTTAAAAGTGTGCTAAAGTCTGAAATAAAGTATTTCGTCGAAATATATTATTTTTATTTAAAAATGGCATTTAAGAATTTTCAGCATATGTTTTCTCGCCTCTGACGTTACAATCTAACACAGCCGCGGCGAGAACCCAGGCTAAAATCAAGTAAAAACGCGCAAATACATTCTATAGACTTGAAAAGGGCTATATTTATGTTTGTACTTAATATTTACATATTAAATCAATGTGATTAATTGCCAAAAACTAAAAAGTTCTCTTTAAGGAGAATCAAATTTAGAGATACACGAGATCGTTTGTTTGCCTAACTTTGTAGATATACTTTTTCCCACAATGAAAGACAATACAAATTCGAGAATCAAAACGATTAAAGATTCAATAATCAGTTTTGCATAAATATATTTATTAAAATCTAATGTGTTATATGAATGTTTAATTTATATATATATATATATATGTTACTGCTTTTCTATGTTGTTTCACTTCACTTTGGTGCTTTGCATGGTGTCATCGTGTCGATACGAAGCGATGGAACTGTGAGATTGTGGAATTACTGTAAACGAGAGAATGCAAGGACCTTCCACAGGAGCAACTCGCTGAAAAGCTAACATCGTACTACTACGTATATTGTATATTTAATTTGCAATTATACAGTTTAAATGATAATGCACTTGACCATCCGTTACGTTTAATTTGTACTATTTTTTATACATTGCTATTCATTTTTTTTTATATTAATTAAGAATATACTCTCCAAATAATTTTATACTTCTTTGACTCTGTTGCATAATTTTTAAATAAATGTTAGGTAAATGTGTGTGTGATAATTAAAATATGTAAGACAATATGTTATATTTAACAAAATATTGACTCTTGCAATGTTAAGAAAATCCGTCTGAAATAAGAATGATGTGCATTATCATACGCCTAAAAGGAAATTTAGATAAAATATTATCTCTGAAAGGGGGAAAAAGAACTATGCGTTATCTAATATTTATTTTATTATGAACGTAAAGATATAATCGTAATCATAATAATTAGAATATTTATTCTTAGTACAAACAATAATTGTCGGTTAATACTGTACAGTCTGAGGTCTCTGTAGGTTCCAAATACTGGATATTGTCAGGGTTGGCTGTTATTCAATTTTCTTCTGTGAAAATTTCAAAAACAGTATTACACGCCTTAATATATTATATGCTACAAAAATTGCTATGAGAAATAAATCAATTATATATAGAAAAAAAGCCCATTGTAATTGTAGAATTTTAATTCATACAAAACAGGGTTGAAAGTTATTTTTGTAAAAGTATCTAGTTACAGTTACTGTTTTTTTTCACTAAAAATAACTAGTTACTAAATTAACAATTACTGATTCTGAAAAATAACAAGTTACAGTTACGATAATTCAAAAAGTAACGAATCGTTTCTTTTCAGTTACTTTTTTTGCACAATGACTCTATATTATATTTTAAATATAATAATTTTATGTATTTTAATCTTTACTAAATTATATATTACACACTTGATTATGTGATTGATAATAAATTATAATCGTTTTAAATTTAAACTGAAAATATATTAAATATATTAAATATTAATAATTTGAAATAAATTAACTTCTTCTATAACACAATAATTAATATGATTTACTTAGAATAAAAATTATGGAATTCCAGATTTTTCAGTTAAAAAAATTCATAAAATTTCAGACAATCGTAACTTACCTAAAAATTGTTACAATTAAGTTTTAAATTATAAATAAACTAATTATAATATTAAATTAGTTACAGCAGCTACCAAAGAAATGAAACTAAAGTTAAGTTACAGTCATAGATGCAGAAAAAGGAACAATGTTAAGTTAGTTACCAAAAAATTCATCTGTAACTGTAACTTCGTTACAAGTAACGAATTACTTCTCAATCCTGCAGAAAGATCTTTGCTTCTATACCTCTTTTTCTTCTTATGCGCGGTGAGTGACTCTTGACCACTATCGTCCTCGCTATCCTCGGATTGACTACTGCTAGTACTACTCGACGAACTGCTCGAAGACCCACTCGAGGAATCACTGGCGACTCCGGTGTCCATCTTTACATCTATGGTCTCCGCTAATGTTGCCAATTCAGGTTCCTTATCGTAGAGGACCTCTAACCATTTCCGCGACAATTTTGGCCGTCCTCGAACCTGTTTTGCAATAAGTAGCTTAGTGTAACGTCCTTACGTAAATTACAAGGAGAAACCTTAATATTCTTAAAGAAGAGATCGAGTTTAACATGTAGTTAAAAATTCAAATTCAAAAATCCAATGTTGTGCGTAGATGATTTTAAAATTAGATAAATATTAGCTAGATAGAAATGAGATGAAAATATGTAAATTCATCTTAGATAAGATAAAGGCGATTTTTTTAAATATATCTAGATAAAAGATAAAATTATGTGGCGATTCATCTGGATAACTTATCAGATATTATTTTTAAAATTGCTTAATGTAAACACAGCTATAAAAAATGTAAATTATAAAAAAGATATAAAAATGTATTCATACTTTTAAAAGCTTTTATCGCTTACTGCTTAAGTTCGACTATTAAGTAGTTTTATGCGTTATTTTATGCCCTAAATGGTCTAAATTATTTGAACATTATCCTAGATAATTTAATAAAGATAACACGTTTCATCTTTCATCATTCATAAAATATAGATATAGATAATACATATCATAGATAATACACATTTTATTATGTATATAAAGATATGACGCCAAAACTTGATCTAGATGATCATCTATATAATTTTATTTAGATAACAGCAAACACTGAAAATCTAATAGTTTCACTTTCTAGGATTTGCATACTTAAATACTTAAAAATAATATTTTATTTATTGTACTTGCAAAGTAATCAAATCTTCAAGAACAGTTATTATCCGAATTTTAGATTACTGAGTATCTGCAAGATTCGAAACAATACTTGATAAGAAATAAACGTCTTCTATCGCCAAATTCCTATCGCTAAATCGCACATGCAGTTTTTTTGATATTTTTAAAAATAATCAAAAAGGAATAATACAGAGTGTCTCATAGGGCATGGTTGAAATTAATCGCTGTCATTTTTTCATGCATGCAGTTATTGAGAAAACAAAATTGTGTTGAAAAGAGGAAAGTCTGAATGGATATAAATAACATACATGTTATTTGACATCGGATTCTTACCGTTTTGTGCCAAACTACCGGGAAGTTGGTGCGCGAACAGAAATTCTGCGTCACCGCTATAGTTTCATCGAGATTTAAGACAATGTGCCACCAACCACCGGGAATGAAAACGGTCTCGCCGGGAACCTGTAGAATCTCGATCGGGCGGCAATCGTTCGGCCACGACGGCAGCTTTGTGCGGGGATAGACGATAGAAAACCATGTGATAGCTTCGTCCCTCTGTTTACCACCCTCGGCCGCGGTTATCTTCAACAGCTCGCGAGGAGTATGCGTAGGAAATAGGCACCAACGTTTATGACCGGAATTAATGCGTTCCAGGCACTGGTACCCAACGGATCTATATGTATTCCTGTACCTGATGCAATTATGTCAAATATATATATATAATTATATATGTCAAATATAATTAAATATGTGGTTGTACTTAGTGTTGTACTTAGATGAATTTAAAATTCGCTAGATACAGATGAGATAAAAATATGTAAATTCATCTTATTGTTAGATAAGATAAAGATGATTTTGTTTTAAATATATCTAAATAAAAGATCAAATTATATAGCGATTAATCTAGATAATTTTCTGAATAATAATTTTTATGGCTGCTTATGTAAACACAGTTATAAAAAAATATAAATTATAAAAATATATGTATTCATATTTTTAATTTATAAATTTGTATCGCTTACTGCTTAAGTTCTACTATTTATATATTTTATCTGCTATGATTCTAAACCAAAATTATTTGAAAAATATTCTAGATAATTTAGTAAAAATAATACTTTTTTTCATCTAAGATGCAGGTATAGATAATACATATTTTTATTATCTATATAAAGATGACGCCAAAGTTTCATCTAGATGATCATCTATATAATTTTATTTAAATAACAGTAAACACACTGTGTGGTGTACAAATGACAGCAATATTATTCCAAAACACTTACCAGATCTTGCAGGACCCATGACGAACCAACGATATGGCGGTCTACGGTGTTCTCCAGCATAATGAAAAAGATCATCTCGGAAATATTTAGGAATTATGTAATCATCCAACAATCTCTTTCGCCTGGATGTTCGCCGAACGAACTGTCGAAATATATAAGGGGGAATCATCTTCGTTATTAACATGTAACGAACGTAATACTCATCTTCATTTTACACTGTATCCCTCATTGTCCTCTCCACACTTAAACTTTTGATTTCGATATTTCTTTGCTAACTTCTGAAATCGCATAAAAATAGAATTTAGGAATTAAGAATATTGTAGAATTTTGTACACAATAAATTTTATGAGCCATATTCTAGTGCCGTTATATTATGTATCAATTGTAAATGGTTTAGTGAACTGTTTTAATGTTTGACCTTAAATATAATTTTTCCTACATGTTACACTTTCAAAAAACTGAGTAATCTTTTTCTAAATAAAATTCAATTTTTTGTTTAACAAAAATTGTTGTAGATCTCATCAGTATTAATTAAGAGTTTTTTTTCTTGATTTTTCCATAAGTTACATAATTTTTTAATAATTTTGGAATAGTGTCCTACACACGTGTTGAGAGATACTTTCTCCTTAAATTTCATTTTTTCAGTAGTGATATTCAATCAAAATGATGAGGTTGTATAGAAATAAAAGCTGCTGAAAAGGAATACATACTCGTACATTTGGGAAAATGCTTTGAAGAAGACTTCACATCTATTTTACAACTTACTTGTCCACATCAGAACAGTAATATTCCAAACAACTTCTGTGCAACACATTTTTTGTAAAATAGTAGTAATAATACAGGTGCTCCATAAAAAATTGCTGAAACTAATTAGATGTCATTTTTTAAGGCATGCAGTTATTGAGAAAACAAAAATTGTTGGAAGAGGAAAGTCTACAATTTTTAAAAGATATAAATAAATGTTTGTATACTAGTTTATTTTATTGATAAAAATAATGAAAAAAGTGCTAATAATCACATAACTGATGAATATTGAAAAAGATCATCTCAGAAATATTTAAGAATTATGTAATCGTCCAACAATCTCTTTCGCCTTGAATGTTCGCCGAACGAACCGTCAAAAATATATAAGGGGGAATCATATTTTTATTAAACATGTAACGAACGTAATACTTATAATATTTAACTTATATTTTATAATATTTTAATATTTTCAACAGTGCCAGATTTAATAACAGCTATTAAAAGGATCGTCAATAACATTAAAAATGACATGTTAGAAAAAGTTTTACAAGTTTTCGTAAAAGAAAAGAATTTTGTACAATTCAAATAGTGCGCATTTCGAAAATATTTATCTTTAGTTTACACATGTGATTATTAGTATTATTTCATTACATTTTTTCAATAAATAAACTGGCATACAAATAACTAGCATTTTATTATATCGATTAAAAACTGTAGACTTTCCTTTTTTCAAGACAATTATTGTTTTTCTCAATAACTGCAGGCATTAAAAAATAATAGCTGATTAGCTTCAGCAATTTCCTATGGGATACTCTGTATATTTATAATGAATGATACTATAACACTCCTGACGACACCTAGATCATAATAATGCAGTGTATCTTTTTACTTTTGTAGTTAGCTAGG